CGCGAGCTTTAGCGAGCTGTTCTCACCTGTTTCGTAGCGATTACAAATAAATTATATATTTGCCGACAGTTTATATGTCTGTCCCAAGTCAGGAGCCTGCAGTTCAGTGGTTGTCGTTGGTTCATGTCCGTCATATTTGTTTTTCGTTAATTGTTTTGTTATAAATTAGGCCGTTAGTTTTCTCAATTGAATTGTTTCGTATTTTTCATGTCGGGGCCTTTTATAGCAGACTATACGGTATGGGTTTTTTCTCATTGTTGAAGGCCGTACGGTTGCCTATAATTGCTTACATCCACTTGTCAATCACACCTCATCTCCTTATTTTTATAATGTGTGTATATTGTGTTTATACTGCAACTTAGTCTATGTGAAAAAAAATATCAAAATTTCACACAAAAAGGCAAATCCTGACGAAAGTTTCCCGTTACCTACTTAAAAGCCTTGTCACAGAGGCAGTTTTCAAACTTAACTGAAATGAATTGCATGTTGCAAGTACTTACGTATCTTATTTTAAAGAATTTCAGCCCCCACTCCCAATAATATAGGAAAACCTGGTTCACATAAAAACTCGACAGGAATATTGGTCCTTTGGTCTCTGATGGATATTTGTCTCATTGGCAATCATACCATATCTCCTTGTGTTCTTCATATCCCTATGTGCTAAAGTATTGACAGATTCCGAATGAAAGGAGGGACAAAAGACAGTTTCTACGAAACGAATACGAATACGAATACTTCATTAAACCAATTATCGGCCCATATGGGCATGTTACATATAATGACTACAAATAGACAAAAGTGAAAAAAAAACAATAACGATAATGTTTATGATAATATGGATTTACTATAGTAGTTCTCTTCTTATTGTATAACATTAACAACAAATTAAAGCAATAGTGTTGCATATTTCTTCATGTTTACAAGAAAGAAGGCAATTAAATCAATGTTCTGTATTTAGATTTTTGAAAATAGTTAGATATTTTTAAAGCAGAATTTAACATTACTTGTCTTTGTGGTTTGAATGCTGGACATTCAATCAGAAAATGAATTTCATCTTCAATTGAATTTAAAGAACGCTATTTATATATATCTTAATTAAAACATTTTTAAGCTCATTAACATTGAGATTATTGTTATCTTTATACATTCAGCTGTTTTGCAATTAAAACAATAGAAGAATACCATGTTTATTTACCATTCTGGTGTATATAAGTTTTATCTGTCAGAGTTTGCTTAGCAAATGACACTCATTTATGTCTTTGATTCTACAGAAAAATTTAATAATAGAACAAATAATATGAATATGTAGTGGAAAACGATCAAGTTACTCGTAAACAGCTAAATTTGTTGGTTTACTAGGAACTCCAAGTACATACTTAAAAAATTTTAACAAGAAAATTTACTTTACTTTTGCTCTATTTCGTGCGAATTAATATTTTGTGATTTAACATTACAAGTATCCCAAATTTCGGAACCATATAGTAAAATAAGCTTAATTGTATGATAAAAACATGAAGATTTGTATCCATGTTTGGCATGATACTACAAAAACACCTTTTTGTTTAAAAATTGCTTTTAGAGCTATTTGATATAAATTATTTGGAGCAGTCTTAAACGTACCAGATGCTGAAAAAACAACACCAAAATATTCATAACACCGTACATTTTCAATCAACTCACCATTGAAATAAAATTTACAATTAATTAATTTCCCCTTTTATTGAAAACAATTATTTGTGTCTTCTTCAAATTAACCTGAATGTACCATGTACTATAATATTTTTCCTATTTTTCTAAACCGTATGTCAGTCCATCCTTTGTTGTTGAAAATAAAAAAAAACATCATCAAAATATAATAAACAGCTGAGTTTACGGTTTCCAAGTATTGCAGACGCACACACTTCATTTAAAATATTTGGCAAGTCATTGATAATATTTTAAACAAATTTGGACTAAGATTATTCTCTTGTCTCACTCCAACCTCTGATTTGAAAGAAGATGTTAATTAATCATTTATTCTAATATTTAGTAAATTATCAGTATACATACTGTTTACAATTCTATGAAAATATCCCCGTATGCCAAATACCAACTATTTCAAAAATACAGCTTCGTGATTAACTGAATCAAACGCCTTTTTTTTAATCTGCAAAACATGTATATAAAGAAGATATACCTTTTAACCTATTTTGTTTGTATTAATGTCCTCAAAATAACATGCGTTAGGTAGTACGAGCTTTCTTTTTCTTTTTCTTTTTTCTTTCTTTGATTTAAGGAAGAATTAACGAAGGGAAGTGTTCCACTAAACATTCAAAAGCTATACATGTACTACATATACATCACAAAAGAAAATGTTTTGCTTTGCTTATAACATAGACATTTTGAGGGCTTTATTTTGACAAATTATGGTAACAATACCAATACTATATGATATATGATGATGATGAAGAATTGAAAATCCAAACTGGAGAACGCTGAATGACGGTTACATAAACTAGTATTGAATTAAGGCCCAGTGGCAAGTATTTCATGCATATTGACATAGTGTGGAAGGAAATATGTTGAGACGGTCAATTCGTTTACTTTGTTTAATGTTTATTCAATTTTTCTTTAATGAATTGTTAACATCTTACGGGCAACTCTTCAATTACTTGCGCAACATTAATTGTCAAAGTTCGTAAACATGAAGCATAAAAATACATGCAAAATAAAACGATGTAAATCAAAATCGGATTATTAAAAAAATTGAACGGACGTTGCTGTATGAAATTTTTTATCAAATATTAATACAGTTGCGGATCCAGGACTTTGCAGTAAAAAGGGGGTACCAAGTAAACGTTAGGAGTGGGACTTCAAAACAAGCTATGTATTAACCAATAACGTAGCTCCATAAAGGAAGCACCCCCTTCCCAACACTCCCACTAAATCCGCCTCTGCAATATTAGAGTGTTGGAGGATATGGAGGATATGATTTCATGTCAGCAGGTTCAAACTTTATTTCATACTTTGATATATAAAAATAAGAAGATGAGGTATGATTGCCAAATGAGACAACTCTCCACCAAATACCAAATGACATAAAAGTTTACAACTATTGGTCACCGTACGACCTTCAACAATGAACAAACTCATACTACATAGTCAGCTATAAAAGGCCCCGAAATGACAAACGTAAAACAATTCAAACGAGAAAACTAACGGCCTGATTTACGTACAAAAAGATGAATGAACAACAAATATGATATACAGAAACAAACGACAACCACTGGATTATAGGCTTCTGACTAGGGACAGGCAAATACAGAATGTGGCGAGGTGAAACTAGTTTGCTGGCCCCAAACCCCCACAACAAAATAAGACACTAAGTACAGATCTGGGATTACTCTCAGTTACTGACAGCAAGTTCAAAGCCAATAACAACTAATAAAAAATCATGCATCTAAGACTAAAATATCAATCAGTACACATCCAACATTCAATGGTTTTAGTGTAAAGACGTCATTAGTAGTCAGAGAAAAACATGAACTTGTGCAATGCCAAGATACATGTATAGACAGATTGAAACGCCATGAATGTGCGTATGTATATAAAAATAATATTTAGTTTGAATTTGATTTACTGATAACAAAATCAATATTTATACCAAGTTGAACCTTTTAGAATAAGTTTATCCAAAGGATCGATAAGTTTACCCGGATCATATCTAAATTTCCGGGCTCGGTGAACAACATCTCCGTAAAAATTAGAATGTGCTATCTCGTTTGAAATAAGTTTTTTACAGGTACAGCTAAACTTCCAAACCAATTCTTTGTGTCTTTGGAAGAATTAAGTAAAGGTATTAAGTAATTTGTGGTAACGAAATCCCTGACTTAATGATTAAACATTAATACATTGATTTCGTTCACGTTACTACAGACACCGTCATAGAGAACGAGTTGTGATATATAAACACCACAAGATGTTGCCAATAGAACATCGCCGTCCAAAAAAAAGGAAAATTAACAAAAGGATACGATTTTCGTCCCTTATGTCGTAAAGTTTTGTGTAGAGTTTCCCGTGTAAAACTGAAATATATAAATCTAGGAAAGGTAAGTTATTACCGTTTATATTTGATTTATTTGAAATAAGTTCCTTTGGGTAAATTTTGACAGTAAATTTTAACGAAAAATAGCTTCAAGATAACGGTAAGTGTTGTTGAATTTATCCATTAAATGCAATTTTAGAATGGTCTTTACTGAGTTTGCTTTCTGTAACTGTGAACATACTTTGATGCAGTATATACTATTTTGTTGTTTGTACCTGTGTTTTTGTTTAAATTTTATTATGTCTAGTTTTAAGAGTTTTTAAGTGTTGTTCATGGTTCTGGTTTATGTTGTATGTTATATGTTATTTTATGTACCCTTTGTAGACTGAGCGAGATTGAAAGGGAGAGTGTTTAGATTAAAAAAAACACACTTTAACCCGATTACATATTTATGTGCCTTTCCTAAATCAGGAACCTCGCTAATCTTTGCATGGACGATTAAGAGCTTAAAATTTTGTAAAGTCATCTGTGATTAGTGTTTAACACTGTATGTTTACCTAATGGTGTTTTTTTGTTTTTTGTGTCGTTGGGTTGTTGTCTCATTGACGTAAATCCTAATCACCCCTTTTTATTCATAGAAGTTATTTATCAAAGTGATACTCCCTAACAAAACAAAACCTCATTTGGTTGTATCCTGATTTGGTTGTATCCTGATTTGGTTGTATCCTGACTTCGTTGTATTTTCATGTAGGAAGAAATATGTTAGAAAACAAAATGATACAAAGAAAATGAAGGTATCATAGAATGTTTGCATATTACGTTTATGTTACAACATACGGGTACAGTCACAAGCATTATTTATGTATTCAAATTACATAAAACTATTTATCAAAAATATGAAACAATATCATGGAAAACGATTTTCTAATTTTTTGGGTTTTTGTTTATTCAATGTTGAAAGTAGTGATAACACATCTAAGAAGAAAATAATTTAATACAAAATATGGTAACACGCCAGCATGTTAGACAAATTTTGTGGAATTTAGCACTCGAAATTTTAAATGAAACTTCCGAATTAACATCCGGGATAACTGGATTTCAAAACATGTCCATATTTTCAATATTCTCATTGACGAGATCTCGCTTGTTTGAAGTTTCTAGATGATATTCGCACACTCGATTGATTTGCAGATTTTAGAATAATCCTGCTGGGATTTCCATTGACCTCCGATTGTCTAAACACAATTCTTGGTCTTGAAGGAGCATGTGGTTGATCAAAGAGTCCGTTAGAATCCGAAATACTTTGATGATTTCTTGCATACACTCCTGTTGGATTTTCATTTACTTCTGATGGTCTAAACACGATTCTTTGTCTTGAAGGGACATGTGGTTGATCAAAGCGCCCGGCAGCATTCGAAACACGTTTCTGATTGTCATACACTCCTATTGGATTTTCATTGACCTCCGATGGTCTAAACACGATTCTTTGTCTCGAAGTGGCATGCGGTTGATCAAAGGGTCCGGTAGAATCCGAAACACGTTGCTGATTGTCATACACTCCTGTTGGATTTTCATTGACTTCCGATGTTCTAAACACGATTCTTTGTCTCGAAGTGGCATGTTGTTGATCAAAGGGTCCGGTAGAATCCGAAACACTTTGCTGATTTCTTGCATACACCATTGTGGGATTGTCGTTGACTTCCGGTGATCTAAACACGATTCTTTGTCTTGATGAAGCATGCTGTGGGTGAAAGGGTCCGTTAGAATCCGAATTACTGTGCTGATTTCCTGCATATACTATCCTTATTGGTGCATTGGAATTCATGTCTTTATTAATTCGTAGTCGCATGTTTGAATTGGGTTTTCTTTGAAGAACAATGAATGGGGTATCCCTTCCTCCGTTTGCATTGATATGTATACGTATTCCTGATGTATCAGAATGAGTACTCTGTCTGGCTTCATCGTTTCTAGGAAACATCGAGTTTTGACCGGTGTGTTCATTGTTCTGAAAATAATACAAGACAACAATTTAAATCAAAAGTTGTAGAAATTCATGTGCTAATGGACAAACAAATCTGTAACCAAAAGTACTAGTATATAGACAAAAAGCTCATCGTGTTGGGTAACTTGCACATGTATTTCAGGTTAGGCATACATGCATTTGATATATCCCTTTAGATAACAGAACCTAATAGGTAAACAGACTTTAAAAACATCTTCAGTTTGCAATCGTAAATAATCAGTTAATATTTTCAAAAGAATCAAAAGATAGATAACACCTCATACTGTTATGAAATAAAATTATAAAAATGGCAAAATATTACAACATAATATACAATATTAACGATGGTTTTTTTGAGAAGCGAAGGTTGCAAACATTGTCTATGACAATGTACAACATAAGACATAATAACCTGTCTAAAATCTGATCGATGCGTAGGATAACGAGCCATGGGCAGCACTCGTAAGTCTATGTACAATATTATTCTTAACGCAAAGATTTGTCAACGGGAATCGATAATAAAAATTAAAAAAAAAACAACAATATCAAAACAAATCAAAACATGCTTAGTGTCCGAAAAAGTTACATGTATGACTATTTAATTTGACAATAATATTCATTTTTGAAAATACAACATTTTCTGTATGTTATGTTATACTATAGTTATTCAAATGATATATATGTTTTTAACTTTAAAAAAATCTTTAAATCATCAAATATTTTCAGCCGAAGAAATGCAATGTATGCAAACACTCACCTCATTTCGAATATACATTGCAAAGGTTGTCTCAATGTAGACTATGAAAAAAGAAAGCAACTTGATAGCTCTCATTTTAGTATTGTGTAAATTATCCTTTTTGAATCTGTATGTTAATATCAAGGCGAATGGTTGTGCTGTGTGTAAAAGAATTATCTCTTTTTTATACATAGGGTCTAACTAAAGATATCATTGACGTAAATAAGAGTTATCATTGTTATTTAATTACTATACGTAATGTATTTCATTCATTAATCTTTCCAAATATGGTCATGTTCCCAACTACGTCACAGATTACTTCGTCCTACAGGTACATGTACATGTAGTGACACCTTTAACCATCAAATGTTTCAACTTTGTAATTACATATGTAATCATTATGATAAACTAGATTATACTTGACCACAGGGAGGATGTAATAAAATTAAAGACTTATTAGACGGTCTGAATGGAGGGTCCTGCATTTCTGTATACTTTATTGTTTAGATTATATTTTTCTCTATTCTTTTTTTTCTCTATTTCTCTCTATTTTTCCCATTCTATAAACCCCATCCAGACCCTCATTCAAAATATTGTTTCCTTCTTTTCTTTTGCTTGTTTTCTTCTCCGTCATTTTGCATTGAATTCTTTAAGTCTGTTTCGGGTTCATTATTATGAAAACTTATATATAGAAACTACATAAAAGATGGGTGAAATATCAATACAATCCCTTTTTTCGAACCTGGTACGAATATGATTTATTTTTCGTTAAAATTCTGTATTTGTTAGCTACACATTTTTTAAAGCTTTATCTTTCATACCAACTGTAACTAAAATCCAGCTTGTTTCGTTATGAAAAATACCCCTAATGGTTTGAAAATATCGTTTTTTTTTTCTTCTGAAGTTTGGTATAGAAGTATAAAGAATGTGTAACAAATATTGCAAAAATTGTTTTAACAGTTTTTGAATTTTATGCATAGTTCGGTATGTGCATGTTCATATTAAAACACTCATCTTTCAAATCTGTCTGTTGTAAGTGTGCTTAATGAAAAATAATTAAGAAATAACCCCATTTACATTTTGTGGAAATCTATGTTTGCCTATTTAATCATGTATGTGGTCAAATTAAATGAACAAATCTGCAACGAGAGATGCATTACTTTGCTCAGTCTAATTGTAATAAATGGTAAGCGATTTGGATTAATTACACTGTAAAAGTCGTGCTTAGAAATTAAACACTTGTATTACATGTTTAGATCTAAACGTGTTTAGGATTGTGTTTAATTTCTAAACACATTTCTCAGTAAGCACATAATATCTAAACATGTCTTGAATTTAAACACTTTTAATGTGTTTAAAAATGAAAGTGTTTAGAAATTAAACACTTTTTTCTAAGCTAAACACGATTCTAAACACAATCCTAAACACATTGTACTGAGACACGTTTAGATCTAAATATGTAAAAAAAAAGTGCACAAAAGATGTGCTTAGAAATGTGTTTAGGATCTAAACACCATTTTTACAGTGTACATATAACTTATAAATAAAATTAAGAATGGAAATGGGGAATATGTCAAAGAGACAACAACCCGACCAAAGAGCAGAAAACAGCCCAAGGCCACCAATGGGTCTTCAACACAGCGAGAAAAACCTGCACTCGGAGGCGGGCTTCAGCTGGCCCCTAAACAAAAATATGTACTAGTTCAGTGAAAATGGACGTCAAACTAAACTCCAAAACATATAATAGAACTAAAATTAAAAAGAAATACAAGACTAACAAAGGCCAGAGGCTCCTGACTTAGGACAGGCGCAAAAATGTGACGGGATTAAACATGTTTGGTGGGATCTCAACCCTCCCCCTATACCTCTAGCCAATGCAGAATAAACAAACACACAGTAAAACTCAGTTTATATAAAGACTGTTTTGAACGAAAGTGTTTTGATGGAATGTCCAGCATTAGAACAACAACGACAAGTTATGTTAAATTCTGCTTTAAAAATATGTAATAATTTCCAAAATCTAAAACAGAAAACAGATTTATTTGGATTCTTTCTTGTGAACATGAAGAAATATGCAACATTGTGACTTTGATTTGTTATAAATATTTTACAATAAGAAAACAACTGCTGTAGTTAAATCCATATTATCATTAACATTATCATTATAATTGTTTCTTTACTTATGTCTATTTGTAATCATTATGTAACATGCATGCCCTTTATGGACTGATACATGTAACTGGTTTAATAAAGTATTCGTATTCGGACAAGTGCTCATCCTATGTTGTATGGAGTACGAGTTGCTCAATAGTTGGTGGTGTGGTGTTTTGTGGACAGTGGCTTGTTTGTTCGTTGTTTTTCTTTTAACCATGGTTGTCTTTATCTTTTTACGAGTTATGTCTTTTCTACCCACATGTAACATTTCAAATTTGTATTTCCTTTTGTCATAAAAGCTGAATTTATTCAAAATAAAAGGTCATGCATGCTGTCTTAGAGTTTATGTAGTACAAATTGCATTTTTTTTTAAATTCTAATATACTTCTTGGTCTATATTGAAGATTTCGGCCATTACAGATATTTCAAAATCAAACACGACGCAAAATTTGTTATTGGTTAAACAACAGGTTAGTCGCTTATAACCATCAATGTTTTGGTACTGACGGCATAAAATAAATAAATAATAGTAGACCTCACGGTACAATAATGATAAATGGAAGTGACACTCGCTATAGAAAAAAATGGAAGTGGTATATACGGTAGACAAAAAATAAATAGAAGTGGACACAGGTTTTCACGGTAGACAAAAAATAAATAGAAGTGGACACAGGTATTCACGGTAGACAAAAAAAAATAGAAGCGGACACAAGCACTCACATCACGATAGACAATAAATATACAGAAATGGACACAGGTACTCACGATAGACAATAAAGAAAGAGAAGTGGACACAAGTACTACCTGTAGACAATAAATAAATAGAAGTGCACACATGTACTCACTGTAGACAATAGATAAATAGAAGTGGAGACATGTACTCACGGTAGACAATAAATAGAAGTGGACACAGGTACTCATGGTAGACAATCAAAAGAAGTTGACACAGGTACTTACGGTAGACAATAAATGGAAGTGATGCGTTATTCGAGTTCATGTAATTTAGTATAATTTTCGAATTGGAATTATTACAGATTTAAGAAATAAAGGTAAATGCAAAATAATAAATTAGTATTAGTTTTGGAAAACGTTATTTTTTTTTTTATATATGTCTATTTGCAACGACGAATGATGCACTATTTGCAACGAAGAATGATGCACTATTTGCAACGAAGAATAATGCACTATTTGCAACGAAGAATGATGCACTATTTGCATCAATACATAAAAGGGATTTCCCGGTATTACCATGGACGATGAAGTTGAGATATTGATTATCTTATAGGCACATAAAATTTCCTTAGAATACCACAATTTGTTTTTGTAGTCACGAGGCGAATTATAGGTAGACATATTGTTAAGATACTTGTTAAATGTTGTCCACTAAATGTATTTTTTTTTGTGTCGTCTTGTTGTTGTCTCGTTGACGTTTACAAGGGATGGTATTCAAGGTGGCACCGGCAGTAGGCGCTAGGCGGTCTTATCGGCCGGGTTGTGACCCCTTCCTCATACCTAAAATCCTTGATTCGCCTCTATCTGATTAAATTAAGATCTGTCACTTTGCTCCGTTTGTTTAGCGTATGAAATCGAACTATAGAATATGCTTTCACAGATTGGTTTTCATCGAATTTTTATTTGCGATCTAAAATTCTTTTTGGTAAAATAATATTGTATTCAAACACCATAGCCACCATCATCACTATTTACTTGTATTTAAAGCTCTAGTTTTGTTGTTATATGTCCCGTTTACAGTATGGGTATTATATTTCCCGGTCTTTGCGTCTCACTGTACGTCCATACTTCCGAACCTTTTGTTGTTATATGTCCCGTTTACAGTATGGGTATTATATTTTCCGGTCTTTGCGTCCCACTGTACGTCTTTACATCCGAACCAGGCTAATGTTTTGGTTTAAAGGAGTTTATCTTGATGTTGTGGTCATATTAACTTACCTTTCTAGTACACATGTTTTATTATGAAGTGAACTTTTATGCCCGGGCCTTTTTGTTACACACATTTATAACACATTTTGTTATCTCCGGGCCTTTTTGTTACACACAATTATAACACATTTTGTTATCTCCGGGCCTTTTTGTTACACACAATTATAACACATTATGTTATCCCCGGGAATTTTATGACATTTTTAAACAAGTTTTGCGATTGAAAATTACAGTAGGAACGGAATACACTCATTTACCTGAATAAGCATTTACTTTCTACTGTTATTAAAAATGATTTCGTCGACCCCAGTACTTAGTCTACATAAACTGTGCCATTTGCTGGAGGATGAAAAACACTTCCACCTTGAATGTAAAATTAACAAAAAACTAAGGGATATTAATCTATATGAAAAAAAAGTAACGTGAAACGTGTTAAAAATATTGGCTCCTTTATAAAAGTCATTAGAACTGAGGCAGTCTTATAATTTTTTTCCATGTGTTCATTTCTTATTGAATTGTTATTTCTTTGCTATAATATGTTTGTTTTTGTTTTTGTTTTTTGTCACAAACTAATTATGTTTATATGACAATAAAGATATATATATATATTAATCGTATAATATATTCACAGAGATTAAACATTTAACGATAATTGAATGGAAATTATATTTTGTCGCAATCAATCTTATACATGAACTTAGCGGTTGTAAATTGGTTTTTTAAATAAGGAAAGACTTCAATTACTTTCTACGAAATTTAAAATAAAATGAAATAGAATTATGCGGAAATGTAATGAATTTTCCAACCGCTGGTTAAGAAAGTCGGTACATGTCATAGAAACTTAACAATAATCTATCATATGCGATGATGTGAACTTCTGGTCAAATAGTTGACCAAACATAGTTTTCAATATCGATATTTTATAACATTCTGTTATAAATTCAGTCGTTAATTTAAGTAAAATATAAGTTAATTTTCAGTTTCAATTAAGTTTAATTCAGTCTCAAATGATATATCACATTTTATATAAAACAGCTTCAGTTTGTATCACAGACGGTTAATATTATAAAATAAGACACCGCCATTCATCTTTTGTGGGCAAGCATGTTTTTAATGAACTGTTTGATTCTTAATTTCTTCAGAAAAAGTAACCTTTCAGTAGGGAAGTGAAAAAATAGTTTGTTTCACTGAAAAAATTAGTGAGAGAATAAATATTAAACATTTAGTTTACAAATAAAATTGTCCCGGTGTGTTATTGAACGATTTTTTTTTCTATTACAGTCGAAAGAAATATTTACTGGAAAATCAAATCCCATGGCCCACACAAGATGAATAGTCGGTGCCATAAACTAGGAATACTATTAAACATAGTATATATGTATGTATGTACCGAGAAACGACATCAACTTCATGAACACTTTACTGAAGAATCGGGCTTATCGATCATGCGCATGCTGCATTGATAAAGAACATGACGAATAATGGATACTTGACATATTTTAATTTTAATTATGTCAATTTAATAGTTAAGATAGTTCTGGTACAAATGGAGGGCCTTGTGGCCAAGTGGTCTAAGAAGTTCATCTATAGTATTACTGAGATTGTGAGTTTGAACCCCACACGTGGCAGTTGCGTTCGACTTCAATCTTAATTGACTTGGTTTGTCAGTTTTGATGCCAAAGGTCGGTGGTTCTCTCCGGGCACTCCGGCTTCCCATGCCAATAAAAACTGGCCTTCACGAAATAGCCAATAGTGCTGAAAGTGGCACTAAACACCAAATAATTAATCAATCAATCTAGTACAAATGTAAACGGGAGATAACCAAAATAAGACAACGTGTTTCATTGTCTAGTATAAATGAATTGCATTTAAATGCGATATGTTCTATTCTTAAGTATAAGATAAGTATGTCGCCTCAGGACGCCTCTTCCAATACTTGTATTACAATCTTAAAGTTAATAGTGTAAATATGATCTATATAAAAATTACTTCAAAATATAATTACAATTTTTTTAATATAACAACTTTTAAAAATAATACTAAATATATTAACATAGATAATCATACTTGTACTAATGCATTAATCATCATCATTATTATAATTACATAGTATCGTTTATTTATTTTTATGTAATCACGAATAATGGGAGTGAATTTGATCTCACTTTGTAGATTGGAGTAGAGCTTGGAGTAAATATAAAGTAGATTTTAGAAATTGATGTTGTTCATTTTAAAAGTATTGTTTTATATCATAAAATATATGTACTTTTCAAAATTAGTTTAAATGCAAATAAAATTTACCTATACCGAACCCCTGTTTTGACGATCAGCACGTAGGCTAAAACTCATCGGGCAAGTTCACGTGTTGACCCTGGACGTTTGACCGTTTATATAAATTAAATCATCGACTCCTTCAAATCAATATAGTTTCTAGTGCTCTAGACCATGTTATACATATACTTTAGCAAGTCAGAAACCAGATAATGTTCAAAATAAAAAAGAGACAAAAACCAAGAATACTAGATTTAATTTCCCCTAAAGACAGAAAAACACACACACAGCTACATTGTAATAAGAAGATGGTGTACATGTATGATTGCCATTGATAACTAACTATACACCAGGGCCCGTATGGATAAAGCTACTTAAGTTAAGATTTGTTCCGAACGGACTGATTTTTCTTCATGTCCTACGATAAATTAGTATTACGATTGGATATCTTAACTTAAGTAGCTTGATGAATACGGGCCCAGAGACCAAAGTAAGAAGATGTGAAGATGGAAACAACACTCATTTATGCAAAGAGAAAAATGAAGTTTAAATTATGACTAATATATGTACGAGCTAACATGTTAATGCCTTTAAGGCCCTCCATTTGTAACAGAACTATCTTAACTGTTATTGGCCGTCACGAAATAGCCAATAGTGCTGAAAGTAGCACTAAACACCAAATAGGTAGGAACGACTGGTGAATTACTGATAAGCCGTTCAGTACATTTATTAGCAGTCAGTTGTCAAACAGTATAATAGTGCGGTTAGCTGGTTTGTTACACTTTAAGAAATAATGAAAACCTCGTTGGTTTCATTTGTTGCAATGGTTATTGGGTAAAAAGAAGACAAAAAGAGCGACTACAAAGGAAAGATAACTTACAACATGTAATAACAGATGTTTACTTAATTACATAACAACAAATTCGATGAAAGCATAAGCGAGAAATAATATTTCAATTATAAATAAATAATTGGTGATTCATTCAAATTCAAGTGGACTTGCAAGATTACAGACAAAGCATCTGTACGGAGTGATTCTTGAGATCGTAAATATACAGTTTATATAAATATAAAAAAATGTGGTATGATTGCAGTGAGACAATTATTCGGCAGACTTTAAATGACGAAGATGTAACCAATTATAGGTCACCGTGCTGCCCTTAACAATGAGAAGCACACCATACCGTTTAATCAGCTATAAAAGGCCTCGACATGAACAATGTGAAACAATACAAACGAGAAAACTAATACAGTACATTGTACGAAAAAAAAATATGACAGAAATGAACCAACGATAACCATTGAATGACAGACTCCTGACTTAACTCATTTTATGAGTACGGCCAGCGGGGATTTACATTTGGCTGCCTTGTGTTTGCATGTTATGTACAACGTGACGCTTTACTTCAGATATTCCATATAACGTTTCCGTGTATATACATTATCAGTACATTGAATAACAACATGACTGTAAATAACATGTGTATACAGTTTCATTACAATGAACCATTACACGTGTTCACTTTCTGTCTTCAACACCTCCTTTGGTTGTATTACCAACGTCGTAGCAAATGCTAATCGCTTCCCTTTTTGAATTTTCAATACAAATGGTATATGGTGTTAAACGTAATACTGACTATCTATAATGATATGTAATAATATACACGTTTCATGCGCGGTATCACGGTTAATCAGAGACAGTATTTTATCAAAGTTTGATTAAGGTTAATCTCGGAATAGCTGTCAACGGCACTCCATGTTTTGGAATAATAGTCGCACCTTCAATGCATTTTATCGGTACGTCTAATCTATCTGACGGTATAAAGGAATAATATTTTAAAAGTTTACAAATTGCCATTTTGCCTTCGAGCTGAGCAAGTCGTAGGCCAACACATGTTCTTGGTCCTCCACCGAACGGCAACCATGCCATCGGATGTCTAGTTTTCCTTCTTTCTGCAGTAAATCTGAAATAAATATATATTGTGTTTCATTTAACCAAAAACACAGAAAAAAATTACTGTAAAATGCAAAATACGACATGGTTTCCAGGTTTAAAAATGAGCTTTTTCTCGATGTTTGATGGGGTTCACGAGACTATTCGGGCTTTATTCCCTTAAAACCATTCGGAACTTTATTTCACTTTTTTGCATCTAAAGTCAATATTTAAACCCCGCTTCCTTTATCCATGTTAGAATTATTTGCTTCTTTTTAAAAAGGTCATTAGAACTGAGGACAGAGGTCTCATTGTAACATGGCTATTGAATATTGTAATATTGTAAATCTATCACTTATGTTTTTGATATTCTGTTTTATTTGGTATTTGGTTTTTTATTGTTTGTTTAAATTTGTATTGCCACAAACATACTGTAAATGTTTAGTGACAATAAGTAAACATTGATTTGACTTGATTTGAATTATTGACGGAAGTTATTCAAATAAAATTGTAAACAAAGATGTCAGACGACAAAATGACTGAAGGCAGTGATGTGCAATGGTTTGGTCAGTATGTTTGTTAGAATGACCACTCATCATAAATTATGTGTAGTGATAATTTATATAAATATGTATTTGTACATAAATAAGCCGTTAGTTTTCTCGTTTGAATTTTTACATTTGTCATTTCGGGGCCTTTTATAATTGACTATGCGGTATGTGTTTTACTCATTGTTGAAGGCCGTACGGTGATCTATAGTTGTTAATTTCTGTGTCATTTGGTCTCTGGCGTAGAGTTGTCTCATTGGCAATCATACCACATCTTCTTATTTTTATACAGATAATTTTTCAGAGGAATATGTGCGACAAGTACCAGTCTAGATTTCAAATCGCACTGTTTCTAGACTTGCATTTTTCGTATTTGGCCATCAACATCATTATCTATTTCAGGGGCGGATCCAGCCATTTTTAAAGGGAGGGTGTTCCAACCCAGGATATAAGGAGGGGGGTTCCAACCACATGTCCCAATTTAAAAACATTGATCGTCAAAAAAGGGGGGTTCCAACCCCCGGAACACCCCTCTCCTTCCTTGGATCCGGCATTGTATTTTCATTATTATACACGCTGCGAAACAAATCATTTCTTTGGACATTTGAATCTAGAATGTTGCGAAAAATTAATATTGTATTAATTTACTAAAGTAACAATGACAATAATTTATATACTAAAGTGACAATGACAATAATTTATATACTAAAGTGACAATGACAATAATTTCTAGAGACATACCTCTCAGGTATGAATCTTTCTGTGTCCTCACCCCAAAGATCTGTATTGTAATGGATATCCCACACATTTGCTTGTACAATCATACCAGACGGTATTGTTATACCATTGACGGTGCAAGTTTCCATACATTGTCTAGCAACAACCCTTGAATAGAAAAGGTTTAGAATTTATTCTTGTTCGCTGTTGTTGTCATCAATATCATGGGATATAAGCACTGTATATACATGTACAACATCTATTTCCTTGTCTTAATTAAAAGACGACGGAAAGAAGTCTCTACGGTGGTAAAGGTAGATCTAAAGAATTAAAAAAATGCCACTAGTACCTGAACAAAAATCAAGTTAACAGTAGATCACGAACAAATTTGGAAAAACACAAATGATACGGTGACAGTAATTTTCTTGTGGAATTTGAATGAAGAAATAGAAGAAAAAAAATACCATTAACGTAAATAAGGTAACACAACCCCAACAATGACTGCAGCTGAAACTTAATTATAAGGACTTTTATTATATGTTTGTGAGTGACTTGGTCCAGTTTATACATCAATAAATTCCTTTAAAAATGCGTTTAATCCTTAAACTTCTTCAAAATTAGAGATAAGGAACGTAATTTCCCCACTCGTAATCTCTATCACACGTATTGTATATTTGTGTCATGTAATTGCCCTGGCGCATGCATATATTTTTTGGTTAGCGCAAAAAAATTAACTCGATGAAATTTGCTATCTGATAAGAAATAAATTACAAATATATCTTATTATCATTCAAATGAATGTTTTGTGTTTATTATTTAATTCCAAGATGAAAGCGAAGTGAACATAAGTATTTTTGACGTCGAGCTGGTTTGTGTTATTATCGCCGCCATCTTGTTTACATTGGTAACAAAAAGTAGTTCCATCAACGGTTTATCCAAAACTAAATAACTTCAAGCGCCACTACCGGAAGCCTTCTCGACCAATCATGTAAACGTATTCCCTTATATGCAAACCATATAAGAATTATTCTAATACATTTTTCTTCAGAAGTTTGTGAGAAAAATATCAAATTAATTATTAGTAACTTACGTGCTTGCCAGAGGAAATTTTCTTAAAGTCTCGCACCAAACCATATCTAGATATTCCATTCGAGAGATAATGTTATAAAATGCAGAAGAATCCTCCGTCTGAAAATATAAGTTAGAATAATCAAATGTTCATTGTCCAGGTTTTATTCGGAAAGACAGTGGGCTAAGCAAGTAAGCAGATTATCTATGCAGTGCGCTTGTTATCAAATCTGATTTTAGTATTATACATGTTCTTATTTTCTGTAGATATCTATTGTGTAGATATTTGCATATCTATATTCTTTGCTTTAATATTTTGTTTCAAATTCCAATAGGGAACACATATTACATTATTGTAGTAAATAAACAATTTTAAAGACGTTTCGGCCACTGGCCTTCTTCAGTTTCTTTATCATCCTTCTTAACTACATTCTACTTTCTCCATCATTAAAATGTTATAGATTTCAACTACATTATATATAATATTTTGTTTAATCGTTCTTTAAAAGCATTTTTACAGTAAAAAAAAGGCAAATAAAAATTCATCGACCAATCATTTACTAATTAAGACAATGATAACTGTTGCATCCAGAAAGAAAGATTATTATTGAAGCTAAGCTAATAATAAGAAGCGAAGTAATTACTCATATTTCAAAACTAACTGCTAGAATAGAGCTTGACATTTTTTTTGGACGCTTGGCACACATAGTGGACTCTTGAGTATTGTCTAAAACCGTTTTTTAACTTTGGATTATGTTTATATCTTATATCTCTTTTTCTAAATATATTCGAATAAAAAAAGCATATGTATATATATAATTAAGTCAGCATAGTTACAAAATGCATGAATCCTTGTATTTCAAACGTATCATTTATACATGCGTGTGTTGGTTAACTACATTATACAGTGTACGCTTCCGGTTCAACTCAGTTCAACCCCGATTCTTAAGTGGGGTTTGTGTTGCTTATCCTTTGTTTTCTGTGAAGTATTTTGTTAACTGTTATCTGTATTTTTGTTGTTCTGCTTGGCCATGTTGTTGTTATCTATTTTGTTCCTTCGTCTAATGGTCTGCGATTGCCACTCAGTATTTTTCCCTTTCGTATATATGATGACAAAACATTATAGAATCATTTCAGCAAGACATTAGGAATGGAAGGGTATATCTTGGACATATAGAAGTGGAAATGTATCCCAGCGACGCAATAACAAGGTCGACATAACATAGGTCAGCATACGCTTTCGTTCGATAAACCATTATCTGTATTATATGTGGTATCTGTTCTTCTATGACCTGCGTTTTACATTAATGTGGTATCTGTTCTTCTATGACCTGCGTTTTACATTAATGTGGTATCTGTTCTTCTATGACCTGCGTTTTACATTAATGTGGTATCTGTTCTTCTATGACCTGCGTTTTACATTAATGTGGTATCTGTTCTTCTATGACATGCGTTTTACATTAATGTGGTATCTGTTCTTCTATGACCTGCGTTTTAAATTAATGTGGTATCTGTTCTTCTATGACCTGCGTTTTACATTAATGTGGTATATGTTCTTCTATGACCTGCGTTTTACATTAATGTGGTATCTGTCCTTCTATGTCCTTCTATGACCTGCGTTTACATTAATGTGGTATCTGTTCTTCTATGACCTGCGTTTTACATTAATGTGGTATATGTTCTTCTATGACCTGCGTTTTACATTAATGTGGTATCTGTCCTTCTATGTCCTTCTATGACCTGCGTTTACATTAATGTGGTATCTGTTCTTCTATGACCTGCGTTTTAAATTAATGTGGTATCTGTTCTTCTATGACCTGCGTTTTACATTAATGTGGTATCTGTTCTTCTATGACCTGCGTTTTACATTAATGTGGTATCTTTCCTTCTATGACCTGCGTTTTACATTAATGTGGTATATGTTCTTCTATGACCTGCTTTTTACATTAATTCCTGAGTAACTGACTTGAATTTTATTTATACTCACATCCTCTGGGAAAAAGTGATCAATTTCGTTTTGCAGTTTGAGCTGCACATCCGGGTTCACGACGAGTTCATACATAATATAAGCCAATGTTGTACTTGTTGTTTCATATCCCGCTAGGAGAAAAAGCAGACACATAGCCGATAGTTCCTAAAATAGAATAAATGAATACTTCTTTTAAACTTTTACATTTAACAAAAGCTTTAAAATTTATATAATTATAGTGATATTTCCGTCGTCATGTTTATCTGAAGTAAAATCGATGTTTCCTAAAATAACAATATTTTAAAACTAGGAAGTTGTCGTTACGTTCTGTCCTATAATGAGTGAATCATTTATCGAAATTAGCTGTTATCAATCTATATTCTTGAAAATTAAGAATATATTGTAAGTTCGATCGACATTCGTTTTATATGTCAGTGTTTGAATACGTTTCAATATTTCAAAGGGTAAACATTTTCAGAAGTGCCCTGATCGCATTGAAAATCTATGGTTTGAAGAAAAAAAACGATGATATATATGTAAACGCAAAGGTGCGATGGCGACGCTGAAATGCGATAGTCACGCGGAAATGCGATGGTCTGTTCCGAAGAGCATCCTTTCGCTGATGTGCAATGGTCTATTAGACGCGTGATTACTAGTTTAAAATCTACAGATGTCCAATTATTATGAGAGATTGAATTTTTTATTAGTTAGTATATGAATTCCAAGCATTTAATATTTTCTCGAGTTGCAGTAAAAATCATCTACCGCGGGTGATCTATCTCATTTCGTGTTCTCATTTAAACCATCCGTTTAGACGTTTCGCTTATTTTGTTTCATTCTAACTAATCTAGCAATATTTGCATTTCAAACACTTTCCACATTTTCAGTCATTGCAATTAGTACTGGTTTTAAAGGAAAACAACCTTTACATGTACATGTAGCTTCTGTAGTGGTCAATTTCTGCAGCGATTGTGTTAACGACTGCTTTTGTTGTATAATTAAGCTATTTACCAAGGACTAGTATTTACCATGACTGTTTTAAATCAAACAGCTTATATATGCCCTGTATGTTTTACTTAGAAAAGTAAAAAGCTACTTCTGACAAACTATTTGACCTCTACATCGACATCTAATAAAAATATAGAATAATATAGATTATGTAGTCCATAGCGCTTCTGCGTTACCATCATCGCCCTTCGGCATAGAAAACAACAAGATAGCGTCACAAATCCACCATCGCAAAATCGCACCTCAGCGTCAAAGCGTCGGATTTCAGCGTGACCATCGCGGTTCGGAGCTCGAGTAATATCGGGGTTCAAAATCCTACATATGAACAAACGTTTAACCAGCTCATGAAAATAAAGATATCGTTCGATTGAAATTAGCTGATTAAATTTTGGAAATGATTTTAATTAAGGATATACTTCCCTCAAGTTTAGATTCATTGTCCGGATTTGGCTATACTTTAGGTCCTTTTTTTGTTGTTTGATCAGTTCTTTAACTGTGTATTAGGTTTATATTTCGGCCTCGAGCATCACTGAAGATACATTATTTCTCGGAATACGCATCTGGTGCTGTAAAATTGGTACCGTTTATGTTTTTTTCACCATTTATGTCCATATTCAAATCGGGTAAAAATATTAACAACAGAAAAAATAACGACAAACTGATTTAACAAGAGGTTCTCAAGAGCCTGAATCGCTCATCTGTAATTTTTTGCTTAAATCTTTCATCAATGATTATTTTTGCATTTTAATATATATTGATGAGTGGCTTAAAAATGCCATTTAAATGTTCTTTGTATCTGTCATAATTTCTTCAAAAACAAAAAAATGCATTTTACCCCTATGTTCCATTTTAGCCATAGTAGCTATGTTTCTTGACGTACAAGGAAATAAAATACAAAAATGTATACTAGATACTCGGAAACTCATTCAGTCCAAGTTTGGCTGAAATTGATTAAGCAGTTTCGAAGGAGAAGATCTTTTAAAGTAAGCAAATTAGATGAACAAATTGTGAAAAATTGTCTTTATAGGATTTGCTCTAAATGCATTAGTTTTTGAGATCTTAGCCAAAAACTGCATTTTACCCCAATGTTCTACTTTTAGCCATGGCGGCAATGTTTTTTTGACGAAACAGAAAATAAAACACACACTTTATTCTAAATACCCAAAGGATCATTCAACTCAAGTTTGATTGGAATTGGTTCAGTAGTTTCAGATGAGAAGATGTTTGAAATAGTTTACACCGGACGGACGACGACAACAGACGACACCGGACGACGACGGACGCCAAGTGATGGCAAAAGCTCACATTTCCTTTGGAAAGGTGAGCTAAAAATGAAAGCCGTCATAATTGGCTAGAAACATTCTGATTGCAGTATTTTATTTTTGTTGGAATTGGTCGGAGTACAATGGTTATGTATATAAAATGTAAATAAAATATGAAACAAATTCCTCATAACCACTTATGATAACTGTTCAATTAAATATCAAAGGGTTTCTGTTCACCTTCAAATCAACCATCAATGTCATTTCATTAATGATGAAATGTTAGACCCTAAGATTTTTACTAACCAACCAGTGGGCGATTTAGAATTTGTGACTATATATATAACTTTCATTTTGATATGTTATAAACATATACGTTCATGTAATATTACAAATCTGAAGTTGCAGCTTCATATTGCAAAATCTTTGCCACATCAGTTTACAGATGTTTAAATCTCGTAAATCGATACCATGGATACCGTAGAGACAAATCAAGAAATCACACAAAAATCGAGACAATCCAAAAAGAAGCGAGACCGGGAGAGTCTCCTACTCTACATGAGTCACCAACCATGAGAATTCACACTCAGTCAAAATGTCACAATCGGGAATATGACAGAATCGGTGAGGTTACATATCAGTCGATTATACCAAGATTGGTATCTAAAGATCTAAGACCACAAAAACATGTCGCAACGACACATCGTATCGGTCAACCAATTCGTGATGGCAAAGACGGGTTTCACTACTATTTTGGCCAAAATCGGATATATATAAAGCTTCGAATATATTGAAATATCTTTTAATGTTATTTTGTGTATTTTGCTTTCTCTTAAAAGAACACTCGTATAAGTATAAGTAGAAATGATTAGGAATCATACTAGGTATTAAAAGGCCATGCCTCATCATTTGTAGAAATAGTATGAGCACCTGAGATCCCCCCAAGTTTTTGGTGGGGTTCGTGAGTCTTTAGTTTTCTATGTTGTGTCTTGTGTACTATTATTTGTCTATTTGTCTTCATTTTTTAGCCATGGCGTTGTCAGTTTATTTTCGATCTATGAGTTTGACTGTCCCTCTGGTATCTTTCGCCACTCTGAAAATATTCAAAATGGAGAAATTTGAAATTAAACAAAAAAACAGAGAGAAATTTTGATTACATTGTAGTGGAAAATTACTATTGACAATGTTTTTACATCCGAGCGATTTTCTTTAGTTTTACTGCTATTTTCACATTTCTCGATCGGTGAGAGAAAAATATTTCTCATCTCTAGAGAAATTGCACTTTGTTCTCGGCAAATGATTGGTCAAAATTCAATTATTGACGTCAAATTTTCTTGATTTATTCATAAGTTTCTATTGTGACGTCATAAAAAAGGCGACAAGCCTGATGACGTCACATATAAAGAACACAACTTTCTGCAAATATTTGAAAAGGAAGGATAAACTTTGTTTAGATATCGTCAAAAAACCATTAGAGACACAGATTCCACAACTATATCTCGTGTATTACGATATTTCTCCACTCTCAAGCTACGCGTTTTAAATTTTGAAATTGTCTAGAGTGGAGAAATATCGTAACTCACTTGATGCAATGGTGGAATCTATATTTCCTAGCCAGGCATGCTCAAAACCAAACAATTGGAAGACAATGATATTTGAAAAGGTAAGAAGCGATATGACCAAACGGGACCTGTAAAAGTTATATTCGGTAAACCACTATGAATGAAGAAAAAGCAGGATCTTTATTTTAACAGATCTTTTTGATATTTACTGTTTCGTTGGTTTTTTGTTTGAATTGTTTCACATTTTGTCATGTCGGTAGGTGACTATGTGGTATTGGTTTTGTCATGTCAGAACCTTTTGGTAGCTGACTATGTGGTATTGGTTTTGTCATGTCGGAACCTTTGGTAGCTGACTATGTGGTATTGGTTTTGTCATGTCAAAACCTTTTGGTAGCTGACTATGTGGTATTGGTTTTGTCATGTCGGAACCTTTGATAGCTGACTGCGTGGTATTGGTTTTGTCATGTCGGAACTTTTAATAGCTGACTGTGTGGTATTGGTTTTGTCATGTCGGAACATTTTGGTAGCTGACTGTGTGGTATTGGTTTTGTCATGTCGGAACCTTTTGGTAGCTAACTATGTGGTATTGGTTTTGTCATGTCGGAACCTTTGGTAGATAACTGTGTGGTATTGGTTTTGTCATGTCGGAACCTTTCGGTAGCTGACTGTGTGGTTTTGGTTTTGTTATGTCAGATCCTTTTGGTAGCTCACTATGTGGTATTAGTTTTGTCATGTCGGAACCTTTGGTAGCTGACTATGTGGTATTGGTTTTGTCATGTCGGAACCTTTTGGTAGCTGACTATGTGGTATTGGTTTTGTCATGTCGGAACCTTTGGTAGCTGACTATGTGATATTTATTTTGCTAAAGATTGAAAGCATCTGTACGATGACCTGTAGTAGCTTAAATCCCCCTCTCTTTGACTCAGTTGGATTGTTGTCTCATTGGCAATCATACCACATCTTTTTACTTTGTATTGATCATCTCTATTTGCATGAAACGTGTTATAAAAAAAACCTAACATGAATCATGTTTTTTTTAAACTTATTGACACTTGGGGCGATTTAGAGCTTAAAAATGAAAATAAAACTTTATGAATTTCTTGATTTATCTTCATCAGGAAACGATCATAATCATTGAAATCTAGAAATGTGCAGATAAGTTGAAACAAAATGAGCTATATTGCCAACATGACTAACGACAAAATACAAATGCATCTAAGGTCAACTTTGTCTAAAGGGAGTTGGAACCTTAGTTCCTAAATAATTTCAAATAATTTCATAGCATACATTTTTGGTACGGCAAATGGTTAATTTATAACGAGTGTGTATTGACTCCTGATGTCTTTTGTGTTTTGTTGTGTCGTTTGTTTACCATTTCAGTGTAGTTTATCAATAATTACCCTTCATTAGCGCGGAGACGAAGACACTCACTGTATTAAAGAGAAACAACTATTTGAGTGAACATCGCTCCGTTAATAAGTAAACGAAGTTTGAAAGATTGCAGAAGAATGATAGAGAAGTATACAAAAACGCATGTGGCGTAACGGGTATTCAGATTTTATTACTATACATAGGCCGACCATACGGTATTGGTTTTTCTCATTGTTGAAGGCCGTACGGTTGCCTATAATTGCTTACACCCACTTCATTTGAACTTTGGTGGATAGTTCTCATTGGCAATCAAACCACATTTCCTTATTTTTATAAAGGAAATGATACTTTGAGTGGATGATATAATACTTCCATCAATTGAATTCAAGTTAATATTTGAAATATCGACGAAACAGATTTTTTTTTCAGTTCTTCGTTATAGATAACCATAGACTAGACAAAATCTACATTTCAATAAATGGCGTGATATTTATAAACATTCTATTGACCCACGTGTTACTGAAACACACGTCACATCCTGATACTATTGTTAAGCTTAATAAGTCTATCGGAATAAAAAAGGTATATGACAGTACAATGTTACTCTATACCTTACCTCATTGGTCAATATTCTACAATGTCATTGAAGTCAACATCAACAACAACAATCTTATTGGCTAATGGATTATATTCAGACGTCAACATCAACTGAAGTACCTTCCTCATTGGTCAATAGTTTTTTCTTGACAACATTGTCATTGAAGTCAACATCACCAACGTCAATCTAATTGGCCAATGGATTAAATTCTGACGTCACCATCAACTGAAGTACCTACCTCATTGGTCAATATTCTTTTCTTGACAACATTGTCATTGAAGTCAACATCACCAACGTCAATCTTATTGGCCAATGGATTGAATTCTGACGTCACCATCAACTGAAGTACCTACCTCATTGGTTAATATTCTTTTCTTGACTACATTGTCATTGAAGTCAACATCACCAACGTCAATCTTATTGGCCGATGGATTAAATTCAGACGTCAACATCAACTGAAGTAGATCAACTCTTTGTTCCTTCGAAACAATAAATGTAAAATGTCTGTTTATACTTTTAGAAATGTGTAATACAATTGAGATTTAATCTCGGATGTATTAATGTGTGAGAGACTTTTTCTATGGAATACATGTTAACAAGAGTATGGAAATGAGATAGAAAGGCAAAAAAAAGAAATCAATCGAAAATGATAAGGAACTTAGCGTATATCTGCCTTTAAAATGAAGTAAGATTATGAACAATCGCTAGTTGATAGTTTTGAAATATTTTAATCGATTGAAAAAATATCTAAATTTTTCCTTTCTTTCATTTTAGAATTTCTACTGTAAATGCCTCCTTTTCAAAATACAGAATATTCAAATGTCAAGCTTTTGTTATTATGTGGGCCAGTACATGTCAATGGCCAATGCACCAATGCATTTTGAGATAATAAAATCTAAGTTAGAAAGGAAGTTTATTTTTATATTTTACATTCTATTACATGTGGGGAAAAAGACAAACATTAATTACATAACATTATAAAATCCTGCTAACTATAATGTCACCTTGAATAGTAACATTAAGCATGCTGTGTAAATTCTTCTATGTTTATTTTCGCTTCTAATTTCAAAATAACGTAACACAGTTTAATTTGAATCATCACTTTAGCGCAAACAGTAATCACCATTACACCCACACCTATAATCATGTAATGAAAGATCAGCAAAATTAAAACTATAACTATTAACCTTATTGTTTACATAAACCTTAGCCGTTTTGATTAATATTGAAATGTCGTAATCAGTAAAAATGACATCGAATTTCAATTTTCTCACCTGTTTCATTTTTCTTTCTTTGATTATTGTCGCCATCGTGTCCTGTAGCCAAAAGACTGGATTGAACGTCACGTGACGTAATACATTGTAGATTGCAATCCAGACAGCGTGAAACGTAGGAAACATAACTATAAAGAGAAATTATTAACGGTTGAAAGAAATAATAAGATGATCACACGATTATATTAGTAAATAATTAATGAAACAAGTATTTCAATTTATTTCTGGCTTCAATGGAACTATTTTTATGTATAAATGAGATTGCAAAATTTTTAGAACTAAAGGTACTACTTTTATTGCAAATACGAATACGTGGCTTTCTCAAATTCATAAAAGCATCAACAATTTGTTATATTCAGTGTTATATCTTACAGCGGAACATAACGTGCAATGATAACACTTTACGGTCACCATCATCACTCCGTGTACCGTTATAAAGTTTACATGTCTAAAAAACATCGTAAATGTGTATTTATCTTTAAGTTGGTAATATTCTTTTTCATATCTTTTCAAAAAATGTCAGCTTTTAGTAGTTTTCTTCTTCATAACGTCCCTCAAATATTACTTATTGCATTATCTTCTTGTTCCTGTTTCAAGTGGGTGTGTGATGCTAAATATAGTCTCTGTGTGATGAATAGAGAAAAATTGTTGTCTCTGTTCCTATTTTCTTTTTTCTTTCTTTTCTATTTATGATGACCGTTGCCAACTGGATATCTTCATGTACTTGGTATACTTTTCTTACATTTGGATTACTCAATAACAAAGACAAGAATAAAGAACAAAATAGCGGGAAAAAAGTATCAAACAAACAGAAAAAGAAAAGTTGATAAAGGATACTTACACCCCAACATGAATAAGATTGGTCTCTTTGTCGTATCCCTAATTACATTTCTACAGTTTACAAGACATTCGTCATTTTTCCTCGTTAATGATTCGGACTTTAATCCAAAACCACAATCAGCAATTGTGTCTAAAGTAAGTCTCTGAAATAAACTAAAAAATATCTACGATTTATCCATGAAAATATTTATCAAATCCTTATATTTATACTGTTTGCATACTTTCTTATAGGTTGGGGAAGCGCTTGTTCTCTTAATTGTTGCGTTGCTGATGAAATAACATACATGTATATCCCCACATGTTTGCTTTCATATAAATAGATTGCCTTAGAAATTACGAAAATGTGGTACGAGTGTCAATGAGACAACTCTCCATCCAAGTCACAATGTATAAAAAGTAAACAATATTACGTCAAAGTACGGCCTTCAACACGGAGCCTTGGCTCACACCGAACAGCAAGCTATAAAGGGCCCCAAAATGACTAGTGTAAAACAAGAAAACCAACGGTCTAATCTATATAAAAAACGAGAAAGGAGAAACACTTATGCACCACATCAAAAAACGATCACCACTGAACAACAGGCTCCTGACTTAGGACAGGTGCATACAAATGCAGCGGGTTTTAACAGGCGCCAACCTTCACCCTAACCTGAAACAGTAGTGTAGCATTATAACATAAAAAGACGAGCAAAAATAGTTTAAACATTATGACATATCAACCCTTCCCTTTTTACTCTTGGTAATTTTTTTTTCGTTGGTTTGCTTTTATTCATAATAAACATAAAAACCATTTTTTTCCCTGACCAAAGGCTGATTATCAATTCTATTTAAATTCTGTCTTAGGAAGCAGAAACGTTAAGAAATACCGAACTGGAAAAAACAGATATAAACTGACTTACTCATACATGTCGAAATCTGTCTTCTTCTTTGCATTTTCGTCAACAATCACCAATAATTCGTTTATTCTTTTGTTAATTGTAGGTACAATCTGATAAAAGAAAGTGCAAATATTCACTTACAATAAAAACCCCGATAAATCATATAGAATAAAGAATGGAAACGGGGAATGTTTAAAAGAGATAACAACCCGACCAAAGACATGAAAGAGCGGAAAACAGCACACGGCCTCTTAAGGGTCTTCAACGCGAGAAAATCCTTATATGTTGCCCTTGTTCCATACATTGGTCGGGTTAATCCTCAGCCAGTACGATAGAGATTTGGTGTAGATGGCAGATCATTGAACGTCTCATTGAATCATTTTGTAATACCATGCCAACTTTTCATGTGCCTATCACCACATCAGGGACTTTTTCAGCATTTGTCGTATGTCACATCTTATCGTTTTTCATTTCCTTTTTTTTAGAGAATTGGGGTTGAATGGAAGGTCTTTGATTGTGTCAGCTGAATTTATTCACAACTTGTTTAGTGTCGGGAAATTTATCATCTCGACATTATGTTTAAACGCAAGTCCATTGCTGAATACTGTGTAATGCCTTCTAGATATGTATTAGATATTTTTGTCGTTTTGTTGCTGTCTCAACGATATATATCCAACATCTCTCTTTATTCATAAAACATTGTTTAAAAGAATGAAATAAGAATTGAAAAAATATATAATCATACTATCAAATAACCTTATGGCTCCTTCTGCAGCTGATATAAAAGTTACATCATATACATATATTCTACGTTACTATATTTAAGTGGTCATAATACGAGTACGGATGATAACCTTCATCGGACTTTTTTGGAAACAAGTCTTTTGCCAAGTAAATTTATACTCCAAACATCAAAGAAAAGCAAGTGTAATACATATAAAAAAGGAAAAAAAAATAATGTATTACCAGTACAACGTTTATAACTTTTCACTGAATGTATAACCTGAAGGAAGTACTTGTCTTATCAATTCACTAAGAAATCTGATTACAATGTTGATTCAGAAAATATAAAATGTCATAAGGCGGGAGATGCAATGGGGACATTCAAAGACCCATAAGTCGTAGAAAAAGGAACAATGCCATGGCAAAAAAAAAAAACAAAAAAAAAACGTAAACCGACGAAAAGACCAACACGTTTACGAAACACTGAAGACTGATCAACACGAACTCAACAAAAACTGATGATTAACATGTGTGCTCCGGAAGAGTAAGGATTATCTGCTCCATGTGTGGCATTAGTCACTTTGCTAATGCAAGTACAAATCCGGTGTCAAATCTCATAACATAGCGTAATACAACTCGATATGCTTAACTTCATGGCCATCTATATGTCTTTTGGTTTTTATATCACTGGGGTCCTGTCACATTGACTTTTATCAGCCATCACCATTTACTTATACCACGTTTGTATATATATATATGTTTGAACGTTGTTTTCAATTTAGACTTGTATATATATATATATATATATAATAGGCAAGGTACGAATAGCATAGAATACGTTAATTTGAGTATGCGAACCGCTGAAATACTTGATTGATGTTCTTAGCCAACCAATAATATGATTCATTTGTTTGAGCCCTTCAAACAAACACATGTCTAACGGTTCGAAACAACCTATTTAATGGTTAGCATACAGCAATATTAAATCACTTCTTAATTCACACTTTAATACAACTGTAAAATAAAAAAAAAACCTTCAAACGATTGACAGGTGTTTGCTTGTAATGTTTTTTCAAACCGGAAAATCTGTCATTTATATTATCTAGTAGTTTGAATACATAGTTTATTTGAAGACATCCAGTTCTATTGGTAAGAGATTTTCGATTCAAATTCGAAACGTAACAAAAATATATTTTTTAAAAATTAGCTAGTTGTTAAAAGAAACGTCACGTTTTCCTTGATTATCGTTATAAACTTGTGGTCTTTAATAACCATTAATTATGTAAAGTATAATGTTTATTTTAGAAAGTTATTATATTATAGAAATCACGATGTAAACACCGAATCTAGTTTAACGTGCTGATTAACTTTGTTTGATGTGGATTACGTGTTGAAAGGTAAAATGTCATGGTTGGATGTATCACTTATTATTAATTAACTACTCTGTTATTGGACTTAATATGATGATAACTGCCTTTGCTATACAAAAGTGTCAACTCGGCCAATACAGAAAAACTCGGCCAATATGGATTTTTTTCTGTATTGGCCGAGTTCTCATCCGTCCAATGCAGGATTTCGGAACGTCTCTAGATTTAAGATCGAAAGTCATGACAAACACAACGTAATGTAAACTGTTGTTTGGAAGACGCTGTTTTATTTACTCACCATAAACATGCCAAAACGTTCAGTGTGGCAAATATTTCAGACTGAAGACGGTCACATTCATTTAAAAAGCACTTTTTGGTTAACGAGTCTGTAGATTATCACAAAGCTCATTTTTGTCGACCTCATAACTATTTAAAACAGTTTATCAGTGTAATGAGTGCATTTCAATTTACTGTTTTCTTTCGCTTCTCATGTTTTTGTATCATATATTTTTAACCCGATCCTCATATGGATTGTTGAAGGATGACCTGTAATCTATTGATCAAGTCTTTATGGATAGTTGTCTCATTGGCAAGGGGACTCGGTGGCCGAGTGGTCTAAGTAGTTACTACTGTAATCACTAGCCAGTCAACACTGAGGTTGTGAGTTCGAACCCCGCTCGTGCGGGTGCACTCGACTGCAATCTTAATTGACTAGGATTGTCAGTTTTCCTATCGAAGGTCGGTGGTTTTCTCCGGGCACTCCGGCTTCCTCCACCAATAAAAACTGGCCGCCACGAAATAGCCCAAAAGCGGTGCTTAATAGTGGCGTTAAACCACCAAAAATCAAATCAAATCAATCTCATTGGCAATCATATTCAACTCCTACTTTTATTTAGTCATTTTGTTTCTGAATCTCTCATGCAATTGCAGTACCTTTCCAATTACTATTTATGTGTTGCGTCTATATATGTATTATAACACTTAAAAGTGACTTAAAAGGGTTAACAAATCATCAAAAAAAATGTAGAAGACTCTTCTAAACAGCACCAAATCATTTGACATTGCAGCTTATAAAAAGAAACTCAAATTTGGATAGTTCGATTTCAGTGTAAAACATGTTAAAATCTTGTGAAAGGAAATGAAACAAAAACAAAGATAAACACTGTATGCACATAGTTAATTAATAAAGATATCATTACGTGATTATTTCTGTATTGGCCTTACTATTGGTCCTCGGCCAGCTGTATTGGCCCTCGGCTTCGCCTCAGGCCAATACAGCAAGCCTCGGATCAATAACAAAGCCAATGCAGAAATAATCACGTAATAATATCATAGTATATTTATTTATTAAATGATATGAGCAAATAAGCACTAATACGGATAAATCAGCATGTGCAATACTGATAAAGTTGACCTGTCGATATAATTCAAGAGTTAATATTGCTTTTCGGACAGGGCCAATACGGAAAAAACAGGGCCAATACGGAAAAAAGCCGTATTGGCCCATGGGCTAATACGAGACGTTCACTTCCGGTTTCAATTTTCTTACGCCTTATTTAACTTTAGACGTATCGTTTTGCATAAAAACATTTGCATTATATCTTCTAAGCTTAAAATCATAAAATAAAAAGTGTTTTGTAACGTATTGAAGTCTTGAAACGGAAATATTTCACAGCCTTTTCGAGTACGACTTTCGATTATTGACACTGTTTCATTTCATTTCCTTTGATCAATCATCAGAACGCAGACGATCCAAGAGTAAGAATAGTTAGACTGTCTGATTTATTCTTCCCAGCTACTTTATATTTGCTAGATAAAATGAATTGTAATAGCATAATATTAAGTACTTGGACGAGAAATCAGAAATTACATCTGACAATGTTGACAAAAAATCCATGCCACGTGAATGAAAAGACAAGTTCAGATATGAAATTCTGTATCTTCTTCACGGTAAGTTTCTTAGCTTATTCTTATTAAAAGAATTAAAATCATTTGATAAAAGTGTTATGAGCTGGCTGTTTCTGTATTGGCCCTGTTATAGATTCTCGATCAGCTGTATTGGCCCTCGACTCTTCGAGTCTCGGGTCCAATACAGCTAACCTCGAATCTACAACAGGGTCAATACAGAAACAGCCAGTTAATAACACTATAATAGGCCATCCACACAGCACTATATCAGACCGGAGAAGATGTATGTACTATAATAAAAACATAGACAAAAAGGATAAGAAAGGCCTTAAACAACTAGCTTATCCTGACGTCTGTACCAATTAACTGCTAACCATTACACATACAATATTCCTACAGACTGTGATTTTTAAAATCTTATTTCAATATTTTTTTTTCTATTTGTTACTTTTCATAGTGTTAACTTTCCCTTCCTTGAGGGTGATTATGGTTTTGGTTGTTCTCATAAGATGAACATTTCACAAGTTTGTTTGATACAAATGTATGTGCGTGTTTAAGGTAACCAATCAGATTTTAATACACGTTATATATGCATTTCCAAAATCAATTCATATTAGGATAAATATAGGAACCTAATGTCAGAACTTTACGATTTTTACAAATTTGTTTAAGATCGACTAAGGTTTTATTTAGAGCTTCACATATTGCATTGAAATTCGGGCACAGTAAAACTGAAGTGTTGACTACTCTTATAAAGGTTCAATGGGTTGGTGTTATCTATCGTTTTATATTTTCAACTTTCAAACTAGTCTCTAGCGTACTCCTTAACATTTCTCTTTACTGTCAATTACTGGAACATAAGGCAATTTCTAAGGCAAAATTGATCTCAGTTGGTGTTGTGTGCATTGCCCTTTGTGATTTGACTATCCAGGATTTTATTTAATAATTGGATGTTTTTGTAGTATTGTTTGAGTGAAAAAAAAGTTGACCGAATATCATATTGTATGAAGCGCGGATTGGCTGTTTGGAAAATTTCATTCACAATATAATTTCCCATCTAAAAAAAATCAGAAATAAAATTTTAACCAAGACAGGTATTCAACTACCATAATAACTATAGAATTTAAGCTCGGACTACGCGTTTCTAATATTTGGGGGATCACCGGCAACAGGTCATCTTGTCCATTGAAGTCACGATAAACCCCCAGGTAAAATTAATAGTAACTGTTATGATGGAATGTAATGAGTTCAGATATTTTTTTATGATCACAGATATTCGACACTACTGGACAACATATTGACTTTTTTGTTCATCAGTTACAACCGACGGTGAACATAGATGCTTCGTGAATGTTAGTTTCAGCCTTACTTGTTGCAATCGTTGGGTTTCTCTGGGATATAAATTGGACGATAAACAGTATTAACGACAACAGTGAGAATTTAGCACACTACAAACTGCAAAAACTGACAATTGGAAAGCCTTCTACTCACTTCTTTCATTTTGGACGTACTGAATGCCGGGTTAACTATTGACCTCAAACGTCGCCACCTCTCGCCACGTGCAAAGAACATATGGACATTCTCGTCCTGGTCTGGATCAACTTGGACGGGGTATACCTATATCAATAAAGCAAAGTGATTTAGAAGACAGTGTCCAGCAATTGATTTTTTCTGTAGTAATATTTTTATAATTTCAATCAGTCAATTATAATATGATATGATATAGTAAAATACATAATAATACTTAACACCATCTGTGTATCTTGAATTGAATACATATACATGTACATATATGAAAAATACGTTGGAACTAGAATACCTACATGTGAATGTCAACAAGAGCCCTGCTTAATTAATTCAGGATATGTTCTCGACAAGTATAAATTTTTATTAAAATCCAGGTACTACTGGTTGTCGATTCGTAAATGAAAAATACGTTGGAATTAGAATTCTTACATGTGAATGTCAGCAAGATCCCCGCTAAATTATTACAGGATATGTTTTCAACACATATACATTTCTATTAAAATCCAAGTACTAATGGTTGTCGATTCGTAAATGAAAAATACGTTGGAACTAGAATACCTACATGTGAATGTCAGCAAGAGCCTCGCTTAATCAATTCAGGATATGTTATCGACACATATAAATTTTTATCAAAATCCAAGCACTACTGGTTGTCGATTGGTGGGTAATCAATAACATTGAGAATCATTTTGAAATGGCAAATTATACATACACATCGACTTTCATTGACATCCAAACAAAAGCAGATATTTCGAAAGCTTTGTGACTTTTTAATAGAAGTTTTTACACAATTTTGACAACGGGAATCAATTTGGAATATGAATTATTCCTATTTATTATTTTCGTTGAAATCCAAATACGGAAAGGGTTTTTTTCTTAATCTGATTAGTTTACCCCATACTAGACATTGACAATTAATTTGGAATGTTATAGATCTTTATACATATATATGTATATTTTTGTTGAAATCCTATGGGAAAAAAGAATTGGTATGTTTTTAAGAAAGGGTAGAAATAGCTTATTAGATCTATATATCAATTTTTGTTGAAATCGTAGCAAAAAAAAAGTGTTTCTATATATTTTATTTTTAAGCAAACTTCAAGTTTTTAAACCCAATCACCCTCTATTGCTACAACAATCAATTTGTGGCTTAGAAATGAATTTTGAATATCATAAAATAGCCTATATATTTAATTTTGTTGAAATTCTAGCAAAACAGTTCAAGGTTAGAACATTTCTTTTGTTCTAAATATGTCGGTAGAACTCTTTTAGAGACTTTTATAGGACAGTTCTTATGACAGTTCCTAACATATTTTAAGTGAAGTTAGTAATTTTGTTCACTTTGAATCACCGATTTTCCAATCATTCTCTTCTAATTGAAACAAATACAAAAGGATTGCCCCTATTTCATCCACTATCCCTCTCATATAAACAGTGTATTTTGTATCCTTTTAAATTGTATATGCAGTACTTTTCCTGAACTATTTGCTATTTATCTATCAGATAATTTATAAGAAGTAGTAGATTCAGAATGGATAATAAACTTTCTTTTTTTCATATAGATATATAATAGACATTGATTATTTGCTTGCCATTAGTTTGCTTATTAACCTTTCTAGCATGAAAATTTTTAAACTGTCTAACAAAGATATCATATAATAGATCAACATCTGATGACACGAGTACTGGAGTTGGCCCTTCAAAATATCTGAAAAAAAAGATAATATGTATTAAGAAATATCTTTAAAAATCGGTACATTCATTTGCATGCATCTCTAGCCTTTGCTGATCATGCGTGTTTTTTAATTTTAGTTCATTTATATTTTTCGGAGTTCAGTATGGCGTCCATTCCGCTGAACTAGTATGCATTATGTTTCGGGGCAAGCTTAAGCCCGCCTCCGGGTGCCGGATTTTCTCGCTGCGTTGAAGACCCATTGGTGGCCTTGGGCTGGTTTTTTTGTTCTTTGGTCGGATTGTTGTCTCTTTGACACATTCCCCGTTTCCATTTTCAATTATGTTTGTTATTTGAAAAAGGGAATGGTATTCACATGTGAAAAATCACTGGTTCGCTTTATTATATTTTTTTACGAGTTGTTTGATCAATTGCAAATCGAAAACAGATTTTGTAAGCAAAATATCATTGTCATTTTCCTTAGTTTCTTTTGTTACTTATTCTGACATCAGACTCAGACTTCTTTTGAACTGAGTTTTACTGTGCGTATTGATATGTGTTTCTTTATTCTACATTGGCTAGAGGTATAGGGGGATGGTTGAGATCTCACAAAACATGTTTAACCCCGCCTCATTTTTGCGCCTGTCCCAAGTCAGGAGCCTCTGGCCTTTGTTTTGTATGTTTTTTAATTTTAGTTCATTTATATGTTTTGGAGTTTAGTGTGACGTCCATTTTCACTGAACTAGTACACAATTTTATTTAGGGGCCAGCTGAGGACCACCTCCGGGTGCGGGTTTTTTTTTGCAGTGCGTTGAAGACCCATTGGTGACCTTCGGCTGTTGTCTGCTCTTTGGTCGGGTTGTGGTCTCTTTGACATATTCCCCATTTCCATTCTCAATTTTATTTGTAAGCAGTATGATAGCAAATGACGTAGCATACTTTGCACGAAGCGCGGAGATTCTTTCCTTAAAACCGTGTTTCTTGTCATACTGATTAGTAGTTATGAAGACTGCATTCAATTTTTTTACTTCCAGTTAATATGGAATATTATAACATAATTATCTAAATAGAGTAATTATGAAAAGTAACCATTAGTATTCATTTAATTCTAACACGTTTCCTTGAGGCTTACCATGCACGTGCTCTACAATTGTCCAAAAAATGTTTATACAATACTCATCATAATTTCTGTTTATTGCCACCAATAGTTTATAAAATCATGTTCCCAAAAAAATGTTCACGAATAAACGAAAACTCACCGAAAACTCAAATATTTATACATACCCGTATGTATTTCCATATATGTTGTTCCATTTGCGGAATGTTAAATACAAACTCTGAAAATATATTCAAAAGGTATAAAGTTATCTCATATGTTTTGGAACATCCTGTACAAAGTCAGGAATAAGACAGTTGTTTTCCTTTCATTTGATGTTTTTGAGCCTTTGATTTTGCCATTTGTTAAGGGAATTACCGTTTTGAATTTTCTTTTGAGTTCTGTATTTTTGTTATTTTACTTTTTACTCGCTACACTGGAAATATCATTTCATCTAAAATTTGATATCACATACTACGCATAGAAAAGTATACCAATTCTGAAACAACAAAAAATTCCTGAAATAGTACAAGTACTGCCATATAAACTGTTTAATTTGATATTATTCCTCAACTATAATATCGTCGCTACAAAGGTTTTATGGTCACCATTACGAATAAATTGCTCGTTATCACGTGAATGGCTGTTGACGCATTTTGACAAAAACTTGTAGTATTTTCATTTCAAACTTTCACATTCAGCCATTATGTAAGGTTAGAGAGTTCACATATACGAAAATTTATAAATTAGATTATGTAATAAGGTTACAAAAGAGAAAAGAGACAAACATCAATGTGCAAAGGTATTAATTATTATCACTGACAATAACTTAGAAGATTTAGAATAGGAGAATGATTGCTGGTCCAACGGTAAGTATTTTTTTTTTTATTTTTTAAACAAAATTTGATCAATTACAGTAATTCATCACTTGAGAGTGTGACAGGTATTGCATTCCAAACAGGAAATACATAAACTTCTGGGGCATCCCATAAGTTCAAAAGAGATTAGCTTACCCAAATCTTTAGTGTACAATTTTGTTTATTTATACACGTATTTTTTACTTTTGATTTGTATCATTTTTTGAATTCTCTTCTTAATGTTTATTTTCGTTTATTCTGCATTAGTCAAATAAGTATCTACTTTGTGTTAAACAATATTTAGTTGGTGGTTATTACAATGACAATGATAATGATGATTATGCAAATGATGATTATGCAAATGATGATGATGTGACCTACCTGACCAAGAAATGACAACAAGTTTCCGAACAAAAAATTCGGGGAAGGTCCGGGAATATTTTTTTCTTTAAATGTTTCCATTTGGATTCTTCTTTGTCTGAAATAAAAGACTCTGAAGTTTGAGAATTGAACAAAATCTAGTGATGCAAATAATTGCAAGCTAGAAAGGAAATTCAATTTCATCGATATAATGTAACGTTGTTGTAAATAAAGTCGACAAGTCAAGACATGCTAGCCAAGGAAAATCAAGTACTTATTAAAGGATCACCTCATGTCCATATATTTCAGAACTGATCTCGGGTAGAACTGTTCTAGGGTGGAACAGTTCTAAAGCTGTTTATAACAGTTCGATAACAACTTATTGTGAGAGTTCTAAAGAGACATGAGAGAGGTCAAAACTGATCCCAACTGTAGGTTAGAACTGTCTTAAACTGTTCCAGGATAGAACTGCTCCTGTCTGAAACTGTTCCAGGGTAGAACTGTTCCTGTCAGAAACTGTTCTAGGGTATAACCGCTCCTGTCTGAAACTGTTCGAGGGTAGAACTGTTCCTGTCGGAAACTGTTCTAGGGTAGAACCGCTCCTGTCTGAAACTGTTCAAGGGTAGAACTGCTCCTGTCGGAAACTGTTCAGAGGTAGAACCACTCCTGTCTTAAACTGTTCAAGAGTAGAGCTGCTCCTGTCGGAAACTGTTCCAGGGTAGAACTGCTCCTGCCGGAAACTGTTCTAGGGTAGAACCGATCCTATCTGAAACTGTTCCAGGGTATAACTGCTCCTGTCGGAAACTGTCAGGAGGTAGAACCACTCCTGTCTTAAACTGTTCAAGGGTAGAGCTGCTCCTGTCGGAAACTGCTCCAGGGTAGAACTGCTCCTGTCGGAAACTGATCTAGGGTAGAACCGCTCCTGTCGGAAACTGTTCCAGGATAGAACTGTTCCTGTCGGAAACTGTTCAGAGGTAGAACCACTCCTGTCCTAAACTGTTCAAGTGTAGAGCTGCTCCTGTCGAAAACTGTTCCATGGTAGAACTGCACCTGTCGGAAACTGTGCTAAAGGTGTTAGGAGTACTGTTCTATTTACTATTTCAGAACGTTTGTCCTTACAGTTTCTCACGGATTTTAAGAGAAGTTAAAACTGATCCCACCGTTACGTTAGCCACTGTATACGTGTCTTTATAAACATATTAGTATTGGGCAACATAAACATTACATAACTAAAGGATACGAAATATTTTACCTTAAAATAAAGACTAGCAATGAAAAAATTAAAATTACAATTTATAAATTGTATACGTCCAAAACATTTTTTCGGATTTACCTGCATCAAGCAAAATATGTTATAGAGAAATACACATATTGAGAAAGAATCTTCAGATTGTATTATATTAAAGAATTTTATTTCATTTTGCAACGCTTTTCTTTCATTTTCTCTGTGTTTATATCTAATATTTTGCAAGCGAAATTTAAGATCAAGCTGGCCATTATCTCACTTAACGAAATATTTATGAACAATAGAATAGTTAATATAAAAAGATCATGAAAAAAGTTCATCCAGATTTATGTCTTTAGTCATTAGATACGCACATCTTTCTTGTTGTGGGATTGCAAGGATATTTGTTTTTGTGTCTTTAAGTGGTATATCGAGAGAGAGAGAGAGAGAGAAAAACCTACTATGTATGTATATATTTTAATGGATTGTGTGCGTTTTTCTTATGATAAATATTGGACAAAGAATCGTCTCAGAAAAACGAAATGGTCCAACTAGATTTCCGGGTATGTAACACTTAAGTTGAATTTATTTAACTACTAAGGATGTGATCAATTATAAGTTAAATCGGAAACAAATTCCAAACCATTCTATTAGATGGATAATATTCGTGTTTACTCGCTTGGATACTATCCGTGACACAAATCCAGCCAATATTTGCATCGGAAAACATACTGCGGATGTTGTTGTCACATTTTAGTGTATACGATACACTGTTCTTTACTATGGTAATACGACTCGCAAATAAAAGCTGGTTGTTAATAATGAGATATTTGGTGTTGAGTGTATTTTTCATCTTCATTCAATATCGCGTTACGTCCCTTAGAATTATTTCCATTGGTGAACACTTTTTTAAGAAAGTGCCCATGCATGGAAATATCCAAAAAGGCAAAACGTCCGGATGAATGAAGATGAGCAATAGAAAATAACTCTTCATTCCTGAAAAAAATGGAGAGTTTGATCAAAAGATTTTCGTCACAGGTGTGTTCTAATTGAAAACCAAGGATTTATAAAAACACCCAAAGAGCTATATGAGAACAAAAGAGACCCTAAAAAAATAGTTAAACACACTACATATGATAGTCCATTTTTAATGAAACATATACTGTAAATTTAAATGTGAATGCTTACATTAAGTAGTATTGCGATTCCTCGACAATCGACAATAACGCGAGAGATCTATTGAAGTAATTAACAGTACTTTAGAAGTAAATGGAAGTGATTCTTGTACACGTGTCGACAATCGACTAACACGCAAACAATGAATTGATGTGAGCATTGTAAATCAATCGGCAATAGACAAATACGAAAAAGGAAAAATGATATGATTCCGGTACACGTGTCGACAATAACGCGAAAAATTAATTGATGTGATTATTGTACAAAGGTCGACAATCGATAATAACTCGGGAGATTAATTATTGAGATTCTTGTACAAGTGTCGGCAATCGACAAAAACGCAAGAGATTAATTGGTGAGATTATTGTACAAATGTCGACAATCGATAATAACTCGGGAGATTAATTATTGAGATTCTTGTATAAGTGTCGACAATCGATAAAAACATAAAAGATTAATTGATGTGATTCTTGTACACGTGTCGAAAAAAAAACGCGAAAGATTAAAAGATGTGATTATCGTACACGTTTTGACAATCGAAACTAACGTTCATGTATCTTTACCCCCCCGAGAACCCTTGTCTTCGCTTTGAAAATGAAAAGGAACTATGGTGGATTTCGAATTAACAATAGAACAGACTCAAGAAGGGCATTTTTTTTTTACTAATGTGACACATATGAAAAATGCCTTTCTTTTACTTTTGATTTGTTAAGTATTGACAAAAAGCAGCTGTGAAAGTTATAAAATCATTTATTAAAGATATTCGTAACACATTTTCTTAAGGATGTACACCTCTGGAGAGCAAAAAATTTCGAGAATTAAACTTTTTTTCTTAACCATGTTTTTTTGGGTTTATATGACTGTAAGAAAATAACTGATGAAGAAAAAATCATATGGTGGTGCACTTCTTTTTTTGCTACGGCCATTTGAAAGTACCCATTTTTTATGATTTTCCCGTTTTCATCCATTTTTACCCATTTTTGGTTTATTTTCATGAAAAAAAATCACAATTTCACAATTAAACTTTTTGTCATACTTTCACTAAAGATGAAGTGGACCAATCTGAATAAATGTAACTAAAAAAACATAGGTTGGTGTTGATATTAGAAAGTTTTATAAAATTTTGTTGTTTTTTTCGTGTCAAATTGACCATGTTGTCAATTTTTTATAAAAATAAAAAGCATATCATTTCAACCTCTTTGATATAAATGATTGAAAACATACATATCCAAGAATTTTGAAAAGAAAAAAATTATATGGGATGTACATATCTTTGGTAAAATATTTTTTTTGTACCCTCACCTATTTTCTCAACATTTTGCCTGATGACACTTATAAAATTCGAAAATTTCATTACTCAAATAGATATAAGAAGATGTGGTATGAGTGTCAAAGAGACAACTCTCCATCCAAGTCACAATTTATAAAAGTAAACCATTATAGGTCAAAGTACGGTCTTCAACACGGAGCCTTGGCTCACACCGGACAGCAAGCTATAAAGGGCCCCAAAAATTACTAGTGTAAAACCATCATGACCATTCAAACGGGAAAACCAACGGTCTAATCTATATAAAAAACGAGAAACGAGAAACACTTATGAACCACATCAACAAACGACAACTACTGAACATCAGATTCCTGACTTAGGACTACTTATTTTAAGTACACAATTCTTTCACAGAGTTTAGTTTGATTATAATGTTTTGTATATTCATTGATATTTTTCACTTTTATCACATGTTTTGGAAATAATTACCGAACGAGATTTCAACGAGACTGAAACCTCAGAAGAATACATCCTTAAAGAAATGTGTTAAACACCAAACGGTTTTGTCAACCATAATAACACAAGATGAACTATGAGCTGAGTAGAAAGTCAATAGCCAATGGATTTACAAATGGATGTGCAACTGGACGTGCAAATGCATTAAATGGTTAAGTATGCTCACATAAAATTGAGAATGGAAATGGGGAATGTGTCAAAGAGACAACAACCCGACCATAGAACAGACAACAGCAGAAGGTCACCAACAGGTCTTCAATGCAGCGAGAAATTCCCGCACCCGGAGGCGTCCTTCAGCTGTCCTTCACATGACGCTTCATATATAAATTCGGGAAGCTCAGATATGTAGATCCATGGATGAAATGCGACACAAATAGCATCGAACGGACGGACACATGGACGGAATGACACACATGGGTAAAACAGTGTATTATATTTTACGCCAGATTTTGATTGGCAAGTACGAGAGAGATAGTTTACGCTATCTCATGGCTCAGCGGGAGATATTTTTTTGAATGTCACCCTCTCGTGCAGACCAATCAAAATCGATTATTTAAAGGACATTGAATTGAATTTACATTCATTTGATAATTTTAAAGATAATGCTCAAGTACTACGTTTTGGCTTCAAAACATTTTCATAGCAAATTCAATACGTCTGGCATATTGAATTTTGAGCCTAGTACCTTCTGCTAGCTATTATTCGTGTGTTTCTTTGTCCTATATGTTCTCCCATTTATTTGTATTGTGGTCCTGTCATGTGATGTTGTCGTTTTGGTGTTGTGTTTGAAGTTGCCATAAAAGCGGGAGGTTTGGCATGCCACAAAACCAGGTTCAACCAACCATTTTTTTCTTAAAATGTCCTGTACCAAGTCAGGAAAATGGCCATTGTTATATTATAGTTCGTTTCTGTGTGTGTTACATTTTAATGTTGTGTTTTTGTTGTGTCGTTGTTCTCCTCTTATATTTGATGCGTTTCCCTCAGTTTTAGTTTGTAACCCGGATTTGTTTTTATCTTTATCGATTTATGAGTTTCGAACAGCGGTATACTACTGTTGCCTTTCTTTATTCATAGCAAATAAAAGATGCATCTTGCTTCACTTTTGTTGCTTTTCTAATAACTGTAACATTGTTATGTACATGACGCTATATTTAATTATTTAAAATTTTTGATTTAAAATCGAATAATGGTAGACCATTCAGTACAATAAATTAAGTAACACAAAGTTGAAAAGGTGACAGAGCAGATTGATTCTACTAGGAAAAAACAATTGTCAAACATGGCTTCGCCTTCTCAGCTATGTGTTATTTATATGATACCTCTCAATATAAAGCGTCAAACGAAAATCATATTGTGTTTAAGACAATCGTTATACTGTATATAAACTGTTACAGTATATTCATTGTTATGTCTTCATAAGCAACCATGAAATGCTTGGAATCCCCCCTAACCCCTTTTAAAAAAAAAAAGAAACACGAAATAATTCAGAGAACTGATACACAACCTAAGTTTCTGAATAATTTCTTCATTTATCAACGACGAATTTTAGAAACTATTTTATACATATTTTGGTAGTTCGAATAATACCTTCCCCCCTGTTGTATATATATATCTGAACAAGTGAAAGTAATTGCACTTACCTGTAGAACCAAGTGAAACATCCCAGGCCTATACACACCAACAATTCTGTTAGCATTTTTCTTATCTCTGTACAGAAAAAGGAATAACGAAAGTTTACAATTGATTTAAAGAAAAACATTTTCCGCGTTTTATTCTTAGATTTATATATATATTTTTTGTATGACATTAACCAATCAAAACGTTCTGCATAAATAAATGGGTGGTTTGTTAAACATCAGGCAGAATCAATAATCCAATTAACGTTAATTATGTTTTACAATGAATCGTTGTGCCTTGCTGTTTTTTATTGAACAGGAAATGCTTTAACAAGACAAATTAATAACAAACTATTTATTTGATTGTTTCATTTCAAAACTTAGAAAGAAATTTCACAAGAAAGGTTTACAAGGTTAAGTAGAATAATTTGGTCAAGAAGTTTCAAAATTATTTACATTTTTTTCACTTTATTGGAAAGAAAATAAAAGACAATCAGTTCATTAATATGGTCAATTACACATGCATTAAAAATTGAAAACTTGAGATACATGTATGAGCTAATATAAGTTGTTGTAATTTCAAAAGTATGCTTCCCTTAATTGTATTCGAAATCTCCAAACAGTATTAAAAATGAAAAAAAATCTGAAATCGTCATTTAAAATATGTAGGCATATAAATGTACCGTATACTAGTATTATAAATACAACTATCAGTATTTGACAGAAATTCTATCACCGCTTCGAAATTGACGGTTTTCATACACATTATGTTAAATTAAAAATTCATGATATAAGGTGATTTTTTTGTTTAAGACTTAATTCATTGCGGCTTGAATTTATACTGATTTTACCACGGTATGGCCCTTTATGCTAACTATTTTACCGTTAGCGATCACCATTAGTAAACACATATTCAATGTTGAGGCAGAGAAAAAAGAAAACTGAACTATAGTGACATGCTTGAGGTTTGGGCGACCGCCAAACATGTTTAACCTCGCCACATTCTGTATGTGTCTGTCCCAAAAAAACGCACTAATATTAACCACGGTTAAAAAAGATTAAAACTAGTAAAACTAATAATAACATTTTAAATCATAAACCAAACCAAATAATCAATCATGAAAAGTGGACAAAACACCACAGTATTTTTTTAAAAGTAATATAGACAAAATTAAACTAAATAAGTAAATACATAGATAAATGAATAAATAAATAAATTAATAAATAAATAAATAAATAAATAAATAAATAAATAAGCAAATAATTAAACAAATAAATAAATAAATAAATAAACGAAACAAAGTCATTAAGGTAAAATTGCTATCGTCTTGTTATTTCAATAGAATTTCATTTAAGTATCTGTCAATACATCTAATGCATCAAATTACAGTACTTTATTCGTTTAGAATGCATTAGTCTAAGATATAATTTTGTCTGTATTTGTAGAAGTTGTAGGTGGAAAGTGTCTTCAGAGAACAGAAACGTAATTATAAGAAATTGCACGCCCTTGGTTGACATCTGCATGTCAATGACAATAAAATTAATCTCTGAAAAACAACATAAAAACGTGAAATTGTTACAACTTTTCATATCTTATTATGCTTGTATTGGAATGATTAACAAAAAGAACTAATTGCTTATTTCCGTGTATATTCAGTAGTTTATTTATCAAGAATACATTATTTTAAATGTTAATTTGTCTGAAGTTGTAGGTGGAAGTGTCTACAGAGAAGAAAAACATCACTATATGACATCATAACTTCCGTTAGTAAAATTCCAAGCATAAAACTGTCTAACAAACAAGGAAGCGACCAGAATTGATCCAATAAACAGGTTTTCTGAGTATATATATTTTAAAAGGGAAGCTTTTAGCTGGTTCGATTCGTTCAGTCGCACAAAAAGTTCACGGTATCAATGTGCGAAAAATCTAATTATCTAAACATCGTCGACCTCTAATCGACTATCAGTCCCTGAGGTTACAATCCATACAGCAGTCATGGCTTCGGATTGCCATTATATTTTTTAAGATATATTTCCACTTTATAAAATCGAATACTTGTCACTAAGGTTGAAACTCCCTCATGCAAAGTTAACTTTCGGTTTTGGCTATTCTAGATCTGTTTAGGTTCTTTTAAATTGTATGCTGTTTAATATCTTAAACATTTGGCTTTCCGATCTCTTACCTTCGGACATTTTCGGTAAAAACTGTCCCAGAGCCTCGTGTTGCTCGCACATAAACTAATTCGTTTGTGTTTGAACAACTTACTTATGGGGGTTTTTAACGACCTTGACTGTCTATAAAGCCATCGCACGGTCGGAAGATACGACTAATAAACAATGTAATGCATTCAGGGTAATATTTTTAAAAGTGTTCACCAAAACGTCGTGTTTGGTTTAAAATGTTCTATAAATGGCAATTTAACCAATGACGTAACGTTATTTTCTTTTTGGGGTACGAACAAAAAAAATACCCATAGTCCTTTAGACTCTGAAAGGACCAATTGATTGCAGAACAATACAACATAGGTCGCCTTATATATACATAATTTAATTTTGGATGTAACGCGTCTTCCGATTGGCTGACGTTGTTTTGTTTATCAGCTCATAGACATAATTTTGTCATGTGACCTTGACGTCATCAACGTTTTTTCATGATTTACTCCGGTTTAAAATGGAATTAAGAATTAAATTATAAGAAATGACTGTAATATTTTTTTTGTCTATTCGAAATAACATAAAAAATGTGGTGCACACTTTAAAATAACCTGCTACGCGGGTTATTCAGTGTGCACCACATTTTTGATGTTATTTCTTCATAGACAGAAAAAATATTAAAGTCATTCCTTAAAGACATGCTTACGTTTATGAACATTGATATCATATTCGATTTGAATTTGAGTTATAGTGGTCCAAGCTTTTTTTTAGTGTTACATGCTGTTAACCTGTGTCAACGTCTTTGAGATCAATCGAGATCTGTATCAGTTTGGCTAGGCATTGTGTTTAGTAACATATCCAGGATTGAATGAAAGCGGGGCTTTTAACGATTTTATGCCGTAACATTATATTTTTCCTGATCAAAAGATCAAAGGCGAACGTCCTTAACGCTCTCAACTGAATCCGCCACTAGTGTTGTCATATGATGTTTGACAATTGTATTGCTCCTTGTTATACCGCTTGTTTTTTTTTTTTTTGGTCTTTAGTTTCAATTTGCTCTGTATAAGAATTATGAAACACACAAGATAGATAATATCAAGATTAACAACAGGGTAGTAGCAAATTTTAGCATGTTACCAGTCTTATAGAATATAACGCAAATATTTGCGTTATATCGTAAAGGTTTGCGTTGTAACGCAAATGTTTCCGTTATATCGCAAATGTTTGCGTTATAACGCAAAAGATTTTTGCGTTATTTTGCAAAGGTTTGCGTTGTAACGCAAAGATAGGTTGAAAAAATTAAAAAAATAATTGTGTGGCGCTAATTACGCTTCCGTACATTTTAACATCCTAACTAGTACAAAAGATGCAAATCATTGACAGTATATTTCACGATATATAATGACTTTGTTGATAACAATGACGGCATTTTTTAATTGAACATAAGATTACCGGATGTATATCTTAGTTTTTGTGTAGTTGGGTTGCCCTTTCAATGTCGAAAACCATCATATCCTTCTGTTCCATTTAAACGTTGTAATTTGTCTTCATGACAAACATTTTAGTACGGCTTTTTTTATAGCAAATAGACTTCATAAATAAGATGATAAACTAACACAATAATTAAAACAATTGTTGTTTATTGCAATGCTGAATTTTAATTGTATTTCTTTGCATATTTTATGAAAAGGCATCGTTTCATATACATTAATTTTCAATTATATAACCAAGACAGAAACTTTCTTTTCTATCAGCTTTAAGTGCATGAATTTTAGTTTCAAGGAAAGATATACCCCATGGGTTTTGTTATTAGGAAAAGATTGGCGCCAATACACAGATATCTCTGTCATGTAACCTACAAAAGGTATAATTACTGGTTTCCTTTAGTTCTACTTTGAATCTACGCCCGCTTTGATTTATTACCTTTTCGTGAGGATTAACGATACAATCTGTTATCGCAAAAAATCAGGAAATTCTTGATACTCAAAGTCTCTTTCTTAGAATATAATCTTACATTGTATAACCTGTGTGTACCCAGCTGTGAAAAGTACAGTTCATATACTGATTGCATGGTGAAATTGAGATTTTTTCAAGCAGTCTGTAACATATTGACTGACATACATTATACGAATCGTGGAAGTTTGTCCTTCAAATCTGTTTGAATATAAATTACTTTTAATTAGACAACAAGAGAAAAGATCGTTTTGAAGTGAAATGAGAGTTCTTAGACCTAGATATATATTGATTCTTTCTCTTTATATTTGTCAAGGTTTGATAGAGTATGCTTTTTTGCGTGCAGACGTTCACAAACATAGATTTTATTATTTCTGGGGACTATGTTGAAATGTAAGGTAAAGATGATCCGGCATGGTTGTCTTTGATAAAGACCCCCAAACCTGCAAACCAATAAAGATTAAGAATTATTGCATTGATTGCTGACATATGTCAACCAAAAGACATTTTCAGCCACTGATACACATATTCGCGCAATGACATAGACGTCAGTTTAGGAAATTCAATGGCAAATGTATAACAGGGGTTTTCGTCGTTCTTGTTATATTAAGAATACGGGGGAAAACTCACTGGCTAAAGTCAACAAAACTAAGTTAAGCTTTACGATGGTTTATATATAACTTTCTCAATAGTGCAAAACAATTACAATAACAGTTCAACGGTAAATATTCCAAAAAGATAAAACAAATGGTAATTCCAATAAATGTTCTATACTAAATACAATGAATATCACTGTAAATGCACGGCGTCCGTACAGCTTGACCGCTGGTATCCAACTGACCATTTGCATAGAAACGATATAATATGAATTATGTAATATTACTTAATCGATTTAATAATGAAATTTGTCACGTGATGCTGTAAACAAATAATACAAATTAATACATATATCTGATAACAAGAGTTGGACAAT